ATTCGAATTATTAAAATAAAATTAAATCAAAAAGGGCAAAAATGGCCCAAGTAAATATCTAGATTATATATGTTGTGGCAATTTTTTTCATTTATAATTGATTATTTATACCTCTTTTGTCCTTGTTAAAGATATACACATCCATCAAATATAACAAGCATTGCGATTCATCCATCAAAGCCTCATATATCAATCGGGGATGAATATGGGAAAATTACCCATTTGTATGCAGAAACTATATACATTTCTGAGATGTAATTATCAAGTTTTGTTTTTGAAAATCTAACTGCTAAAAATATAGGTATTGTCTTAAGGAATCACAAATTCAAAATCCAATAAAATCATCGGTTCACTGGCATCCTCACAAGGTTAATGCCCTCACGTTTACAAGTGATGGTAAAACGTTTAATGTGTCTTGTTAAAGTATGCATTACAATTTTATTCTATTCTCATGGCCGCGTATATATTATATCTAGGTACATATCTCCTTTCTGGAGGTGAGGAATCAGTTCTCGTGATATGGCAAATTGAAACAGGTCATACGCAATTTCTTCCTCGCCTTGGATATGAGATTCAATCCATCACAATAAGTCCTGATCAGGCCTTATACGCAATCAATTTATTGGATAATTCTATAAAAATATTATCTGCGGTGAATTTGGAAATAAAACAGGCCATCCAAGGATTAAAACATGGTACGAATACGATAATATTATTATATATGCAATCTGATTTGCATCGTCATATGGGAGTTTTTCATTAATTGTATTTCATTGGCTTAGCACAAATGGATACTTCAATATATCCTTTATATACGGGCCTTGTTATTGAGCCGCGAAATCATTTTGTAGTCCTTAATGGTCTTCCAGGAACTATACAATTCTATAACCCTTATGCGGATCGGCATGTAATGGAACATGAAGTATCTCGGCGGACGATGATATCAAAAGCGTTCGAAAAAGATATTGTTTATCCTAATGTGATTCACGTGTCATTTTCATCAAACGGCGATTGGATGGTCACGGTAAATTTTTTGGATATTGCTTGATTGTAACTTTAATATGTTTTTGATTCAATCAACCGATATAGGTCGATTCTCGAGAAGATGGTGAAACCACTCCAGAGTTATATTTAAAGTTTTGGCAGTTCGATCCCAATTCACAGACATACGTTCTTAACACGCGTGTCGATAATCCTCATTCTAAAGCAGTTGTATCGTTAAATTTTCATCCTGGCACAAATGATACCTCCATAAGCTTTGTTACTACAGGTTTAGATAATAAATTCAAGGTGTGGGGGGTCAATTCTGAGTCACATATGTCGCAGGTGCCTAAGGGTATGTATAATTCATTGCTTCATTTCATTAGATACACATAATTTACTAAGTATTTTTTTTAGATGCGGCATCGTGGATATGTAAATTTGTTGGTTCCTATCGACAATATACTCCACACGCAACAGCGTTTTCACAAGATGGATCTATACTTTCAATTGCATATGGTTCCATCATAACTCTATGGGATTCTCAATCTAATGTTCTTAGGGATGTTTTAACTCTTATACCAAATTATGAGCATATTAGGCACTTGGTGTTCACGAATAATTCGCCGTTTCTTGTTGTCACTACGCAGAATTATTTGTACGTATGGAATTTACTTACATGTACAAGTAAGTACAATCACCTGAACTTTATTATAAATTGTCATTCGAAAAAATTATTATTAACAACGTAATTTTGTATTTGAGTTTGGTGGAGTCATAAGGTCGAAGTACATCATTTAGCAATAGATCCTAAAAGTTCCCGTTTTGTTGTTGCAAGCAATTGCAAGAGATTGCAAGGTATTAATTATTATTAGTTTTTTAATATAATCTCAGTTATTTTAACTTTAAATCATTTTTGTTTCAGAGTGTCGCCTTTTGGTTTTTGAGCCGCAAACTGCTATACCAGTAATGGTTCACACCATAAAAGATATAATCAATGCAATATCTTATTTGCCCAGAAAGTTTGATGCTAACTCATTGTCAAATGCACAGCCATCATACATAATATATCTTAATCAATATTACAATATGTTAATAATTGATAGTGATTGTAGTCAGTTAAAAAGTCGGGTCGATAATTTTGATACGACTAAGTCGACTTAAATCTGCCAATAATAAACTATAATAGATCAAAATCAATAGTAAATTGAATAAAAAAAAATAATTTTTTTTATGGCAACGCATTAAAAATGATATCAATCACGGGACATGTCCTTCCCGATGTAGAGTGTCCAGGATTATGTGAACCTAGCTGCCCCACCAAAATTTCACGGAAGATCCTCGATTTTGATTGGCTAAGAGCGACGATCAATAATTTAGGCCAAAATTACTCAAAATTTTACTAATGAAGCCACAGCCGCACATCATATGGGCGGAAATCTTCAATTTTGTGATTAGTTTGTGATTAGATAAGTCGAGTGATGAGATTAAATAGAATTTGAGCCAATAATATATATAATACAGTGTGATTACTAAGATTAAAAGTGATTATTTGTCGGTGATTGTAAAATTGCTTATGAATTGCTTTTGAGTTACTTATCAGTGGGATCCCTAATTTCTCCCCCCAGTTCTGATTGGGCATTTGTAAGTGCCGTCTCTGATTGGACAAAGTAGACTACGCCACACTTAGTCTACCAATCAAATTATAAGATCAGGTGTAACATATAATTTTCAAAAAAAATCGAAGTTTTTGAAGTTTTTTCAAAAATCACCAGTAACTTAAAATTTTGGTTACAAAACCACCTTTTGTGTTCTAACAAAAAAAATTCCTTGCAAAATTTTATTATAGGAATTGTTCTATTCGACCTTTGTACCATTTCAATGATACTTCTATTATTTGATCGAACAGCAGGATTTTTCTTCGTCCGAGTCGGGTCCGGATCTCCCGTTGAAATCAAATTACGCACGTTGATTGGCTGCATCTGGGGTCTTTTGTGTTGGTCCTGTCTGTGTCTGAAATTTGGCCCACAACTAAATAATAAAATTATTTGCGGAGTCTGTGTATGTACTTCTCGGGTCTTACCCGGACTCGACTGATTTTTTCGGGTCGGGTCCGGATCTTTAAAAAAACCCGCCGAATCCAGATTTTGCGGAACACTATGAGCAATGTACCGAACAGATCAGCTAAAAATAATCCAAAACTGATCCGTTACTTATCAGTTTTTATAAGTATTACTTTGTTATATCACCTAATTTTATATAGTCAGCACTCCATAAAAATTTCCGCCCATATGTTAAGTGAAAAATATTTCTGGGCTAATTTTACCATTGTGCGGGCCTATTTCTCTAAAAATTTCTATTTTGGGAATGAAAGTTAAAAAGTTAATTCCGGCCAAAAATTACGTAAACAATTATGTAATGCAGACCAAAATTTTGTAGATCACAGCCGTTAGCCAATCAAAATCGAGGATCTTCCATGAAATTTTGGTGCTGCAGCTAGATTTAATGGATCAATTATGCGATGGATGCGAAATAATTATAAAATTATGCGAAATAATTAAATAGAGGAAGCGATTTATTTTATACATTATTTACTCTATATTTTGGAATTTTTTGGATGTTTACCTCAACTATACTCATAATTTAAATAATTATATAGTAGTACTATACTAAGTTTTATCAAATGGCTGAAACTAATTCAAATTTAATATAAAGCCAAGATATGTGTTTGCTGATTCTTGTATAAAAAATCAGTCACCAATTGACTTTTATTAGCAAAATTTTTCAAATTTGATTATAAATGTTAGAAAGAATACTTTTAGAACACAATAATGAGTTCATATCTGATATAATTGTTTAAAATTAGAATATATATACAGTATGTTAAGAAAATTTTTGGATGAATATCACATGTAAATTTTTAATCAGCATAATTTTTTTATTTTTAGTTAGTATTACATTGAACAAAATAGTATTTATTGATTATCAGACTGATCTCTTTTTTTTTAAGAATGTGTTCAAAGTACAGTATATTAAGAAAATCTTTGAACAACTTCACATAACAATAATAACACAATACTGCGCCAAATCACATGATCAATAGCTTATTAAAAAGCCAAAAAGCAAAAGATTTTATTTATTAAAATTTTAATAAGAAACATAATCCTTATTATTATCAAGTACGATATCTTATAGATCTTACCAAATTTCTTAAAATATTATATGATTTTTTCTCATTCTTCAGCCATAAACATTTCTAATTTATTTAGATTTTTTGGCCACCGTTTCTCAACATTAGTCTTAACAATACTCCATAAATTTTCGATTAGGTTTAGGTCAGGACTATTGGATGGCCAATTAATCACTTTTGGTGCATTTTCTAACAAAAAACTCTTAGCAACTTGACTTGTGTGCTTGGGATTATTATCCTGTTAAAACTCTCAACAACTCCAAAGCCCACTTCTAATCTCGAGAAAGTAGTTTTCCAAAATTTTAACATAAAACAAAACATCTATAATTCTTCTAAAGCAGTAAAGACTGGTTTGACTCTTAGACCAAAATACACCCCACATTAAAATTTTTTTTTTCTTTTGTAATTCAGCATACAGGTTGTTGATCTTTATATCAATATTCTACAGTATTCCTAAACAACGAAAAAGCTGTTTCATCACTAGATACAGTCCGGTCCCGGTTATGATTAAGGTATTTTTTTGCCCAATTAATATGCTGCTAGATATGCTTTTCTGTAAGCATCAGTGTCATATAAGCTCAATCTTTTTTATATCCAAGCTGGGTCAAATGGTTTAAGATAGCTATGTAGGAGACCTGGACCTCTATTTTGAGCAGACCTATGAACAAAAACCTCAAAGATATTGAGAGTCCTTTTTTATTTGCTGGACTAGGAACTGGAAGATTTGCAGAGAGATTTTTTGGGGATGACCACTGCACTTATTATGCTCTACATTTCTTTTTTTTTAGTTTAGAGATGTTGTAATAGATCGTAGACCTTGATACATCAGTTCGCTTATGGATTTTACTTGCAGTTCGTATTTCTTGGTTCCAAAGTTGTTGGACAGACTTTGCATATACATCTTGATAGGTTCCTATTTTAATCGATTATTTAAAAAAAAAAACAAAATACTGTATATGTATAACTTTAGTTATTGTTTATTTAAAGGCTCTGTTATATTTCTATAATTATTTTTCATATGCTATACCTGAAATCCACCTGTAGATCCTCTAATGAAACTCTTTAAATTAGTCAGTTCAAGTTTAGAATCATTATGATCATCTATAGAACTATCAGCATAATTAACTGGTTTATCTTCAAATGTATAATTTGTTAAAGCAATCTAGTACTTACTATTATTGTATTATCTAGTCTACTTTGGTAACTTATTTCGAGTCTGAGAACAAGTACTTGCGAGTTAAAATCATTATTATTATCTACTTAGCTCTTGTAAAGTTTATTCAAACCTTAAAATCTCCTCTTCAAGACAATCTAGTATCTTCTCTTTTAGTACATCTAGCTAGTTTCTTTAACTACCAATTCAGATAGCCTAAAAGAAACACCAGTTCTGTGATATTTATTAATCCTTTTCCTTTAGTCAATATTTAAGCCAACAACCAGATGTTTTTACAATGTCTAGTTAATTAGCCTTAGATAAAACCTATTCTAATAGTTATCATTAAAAGTTTATACTACTTCATTATGAAATTTTAAAATCAATAATCAACTTGTTGTTTATTTTAAAAAATAAACATTATACCTTTAAAAATAATCATTTTTTTTTCCTTCTGCAATCCTGTTTACTTTATTATGGAAACAGACTTTCATCCTTACACTGCATAAGAAATCTAAATCTATAAGTGTTCTAACCAAAATGTAAACTCACCCACGACATACCTCGCAGATGCTGTAACATCCACTTGCAGTCAGGACAAACCATTAAACTGCTGTATTTTGCCTAGATACGACCTGCCTAGCAACACTTGGCCTTCTCCAGAGATCTGGAACTCACTCCGAACTTATTTCCTTTGGATTCCTTGGCTGGCTGTTGCTCGCCCCATCAAGATTCCTGCTCTACGATAGAATGCTGCCAAACTAATGACACTTTCTTATAGGGAAGAAAAAAAGAAAAAAAAGGGATAATAGAAAATGAAAAAAGGAGTAAAAAATAAAACTAATACATCAAAGAAAATAGATACTAATAATAAGGAATAAAAAAAAACTAAACTAAAACCTAAAAGAAACTATTGCTAAAAGAAGAAAACCTGCTAACCAGGCAAAAACTTCTAATTATATAGAGTCATGATCTACTATTAAGTGCGAGAGTCTTGATAAAAAAAATAAAACTAAAACAAAATGTACTATAACTCGTGCCAGAGGCTAAAAA